GGCTAGAGTAAATGGGACCGGATCGTTGCGGAACGGCTATATTGCGGAATTAGCAACGGTCGCGCAATGGTGGTAGCATGATTTTTGGTTCTTTTGCATTATCGGGGGGACCAAAATTTTTTCTTAGGACGAATTTTTTAAACATAAATCCCGAATGTTCAACAATTGATTGTTTTGGCCTCCAATTTTTTACGGAAAATCCATGCTAAAAAAGCCAGCACTTTTCGAAAGTATCCATGGAGACACAGCCAGTTTTATCCCCCCGATTTTTACGGCCCCGCGCTAAACAGCTGGCCATTTTTCGCCCGCCAAAGACTCGCTACCCGGTGGGGGGGCAAAATTGTATTCGGCGGATGATGGAGAGATGAAGAGGGGGAAGAAGAGTGGCCGAGTCGCGAGCCCTCCGTCAGAGGATAATTGAATTATGCTTCTTCCCCTTCGCGGGGCCGGCTTTGTCCCCCTGGGCTTCTGCGGAGCGCCGGGTTTTTGGCACGCCACAAAGCCCGACCGGCCCGTCATTTCGGGAATTAACGGGTTTTTGTAACAAGAATGCACCTCGCGTAGGCTCTTTCAGGATAGAAACGAGCTGATAACGGTTCTGAATACAAAACCCGGAGCTTTCGCAATACCTGGGGGGGGGGGGAGACGCAACTTTTCCCTATAGGTCCACAACTAACTTAATAGTGTTTTAGCAACATTCACTATTTTTAAAGTGGAAAACAGTCAAAGGACCTACCAAACAAATTTTTTAGTAAAAATTTTGGTCGAAATCGGCCATTTTTGCCCGAAATCGAATTTTTTCTAATTTTCGCTGAAACTTATGGTCATGTTTTTACGTTTAGGAATGCGAAAATTTTTTAGAAACACTTCCGCTATTTATATCAGAAAAAATGGATCATAAGAAAATGTTGGTTCCCTCCCTATATATCCCTATATTGCGAAAGAACCCAAAACCCGGCTCCATTCATATGATTCTGCAAGGCGTAAAAATCGTCTCAGGTTCCTAGTTTGTCTAGTCCTTCCATTCCCTAAAAGAACGTACGATTCCGGGGGAGGGCCACATTTTTGCGAGGCCCCTCCTCACGAGCCGATGGTGGCTAATAAGGTGCTGAAGAGGGTGTGGATGGATTGGGGGGGACCCTCTAGGGTGCGAGGCCCGTGGGCTCGCATTACGGCCCAAAAGAAGGACCCTTACGCCCCTCACCGAAAAGGGTGTTGCTTTTTGCGCGCACTGAAAAGGAGGAGGGCCACACACGTAAGTGGCAATGTTGGCCCTCGAAATGGGATGTTGAGCACGATACCCCAGACGGGGTCTCACCAGGCCGGCGCAAACTATTGCATTATCCCCGCCGATCCACCCATTTCTTCGCGCCTATCGGGTTGCTTACAACGTGCACGCTCTCGAGCTTCAACTGGGGGAACAGGGCTCACGCAAAAACGTGCGTTTTAGAAGAGCCTGAAAACCCTAGAAAGTCCTGCTTGTTTTTTTTAATGGGGAAAAACTCTTATCAAAAAATTACTATTTTACGAGAGCCTGACGACTGTAGAAAAATCCTGCTTATTAGTTTAATTTGTATAAACAATGTAACAATCACGTTTTTATCAAGAAAAGGTCTTATGAAACCAGTAGTGCTTGCAAGAAGTTGACCACTCTAAGAAGCGCGCCTTTATTAGGTACTAAAATTTACATCAGCACGCTAAAAAATAGATTTTATTTTCACACCCCTCGCCGCGGATTTTCCCATAAAAAGGTCGACACGCAAAAAAAGAAATTGGGTACTCTCGGGGGACGCAATCAACGCCCGGAATCGGCGCCCCCATCACCACCATCTATGGCCGGGTGAAGCGGTGCCATTTGGCGATTGCCACCTTTTAAGAGGGCAACCACACCTCCCCCGATTCTCACATAAATCCCCACGGGGTGGACAATAGAAGAAAGAGAGGAAGGTTCTTCGTTCCCCCATATATATCCAGCCTCACTTAGTCATCGCCACGGCCCAAAGAGGTACTGCATATTTTGTGGGCTGGCTGGGCCGGGGCTAAAGGCCAATGGAAGGGGTGGCGGGTAATGCGCGCGGTGTGGGGAATAGGCAATGAGGGCAGGCAGCCGCGTGGGAATCCGATCCCACATTGGCCGAGGCGTATCTCACTCAGATTTGCATTTTACGTGTTTTTGTTTGGGAATGGGTGCCGACATGACTGTACGAAAGGGTTGCAAGTTGCAAAAAAAAAATACATAAGCAGCCTAAGGAAAATGCTATCAGAAATTTCATGTCAATTTGAAAGAAACGACCCGGCCCAAATTCTATGCTATTTCAAATGTTTTTGTGCTGTTAAAAAGCATAAGTACAAAATTATTTCCGGCTTCCTACGCTCAATTATAGCCTATCGAAACGAATTTAGGGTTTCAGGCGCAGGGGTAGACATGTAAACAATCGAAATGGAGGGATTAATGAAGCCGGATGACCCCAAAATCTACGACAAAATTGACGAATTCAAGGAATTTTTCAGAACAAAAACGCCACAATCTGATAAAAATTGAGAAATCGAAGCCTAATTTTCCTAAGCCAGACCCCGGCTTAAGCCATATCTGTCATCGCCTCCCCAAAATGAAAGATGTCTATCGTATGGGCCACTGTCGGCCCACCGGACCCAATTAATCCGGAACCCCGCAATCGACACATCATCCCCACCCCGTCAACCCAATCTTCAGCCTCCCATTTAGTATCAATATACTTGAGAACATTTGCAGCGCCCCCGGCCATCTTCCACCCACCAAACTCCCCCCAACACTATACATATATCAGTTATGGCCTAGGGGCTCGTCTATTCTGCGGGGTGTCACTTTGTCACCTTGTCACAGTCCAGTAACAAACATACTATCTTATCAGGCAAACGGAAAATTGGTAAGAATGCAACAAAAAGATCAACTTAACTTGGGTCTAGAATTATGGACGCCATACCGGATTGTTAGATTTTACTAAATTTCCAGTTAGTTTGTTAGTTCCTAAACATATTTTGGTCGAAAATTCTATATTTACCGTCATTAATCAAAACTTGTAAAATCTTTGTTTTTAGGAATAGTTAAAAACGTTTAGAAACATCCGCTTGAAATTTTATACTAAAGACAAATCCCCCCCAATAGTGTGAAAGAATCAACACTTCATCTGCTTATGGACATAACTCGTTTTCGCGATCGTACCCATTTACCTAAATCTCCCAACAATCGCCAACTTCAAAACCGTGCGCTATTTGCAGGGGGGGGGATGGCTGACCTTCACCCCGCCATCGCCTACTTTCTTATGCAAATTCGGCAATATGAATGAAAGTTGATCTGAGATTAGGCTGTGAGCAAGAGATCCCCCTCGGGTCTACTTCATCCCTCAAAGTTCCCCCTCCACTTCACATTCAGCCATTGACATGAATATGTAATGAAAGAGGGTGGCTCGGATTGCGCGCGCGCGAAGGGGCAAAGGCACGGGCATTCAGAGGACAGGGAAAGCGCCTGTGAGAGGAGGGGCGGCTCCAGGGCACTCCAATGGCCACGCGTGTACTGTGCACGCACCGCGATCCATGATCTCCCCATAGAAAGGGCCGAACAATTGTCAAAAATTTTGAACTTCAAATCGCTATAACTTTTGAAAAGGCCATGTGAATCGGGAGCGCTGCTCTAGGAATGTAGAGAAGAGTCTGGGCTATGTTATGGAACAGGTCTCGGGCCGATCTACAGCAGAAATAAGGACTTCTATAGCTTTTTAGCTCAAAAAAGTGTCAAATTCCGTCCTTTGTGCGAAGCGTTTTTCTTTGAATTTAGGCCCATTCTTTGTGGTTTTTTCACTGAATTTGCTTGGGAAAGCATTGCCAATGTTAAATCAGCCACTTTTTTGGTCCTGGGAGGCTAAAATTTGTTGTTGCAATTCCGGCAAGCTTTTAATTTATTGATTTTTAGCATACTATGCTCCATAAATGATCTATTGGGACTTTTCCGGGCTTTTGGCGCAAAAAGCAAAAGGTTAACGCGCTCTCTTGAGGGTGGGGAATCGAACCCACACCCTCAGACTGTGGCTCATACCGGCGCCTTAGACCACTCGGCCACGCCCCGCCCCCTCCCCCACGCACGCTCTGAACGCCCGTGAAGGATGCGACACACAGGATGTGGATAATTGGGAGCAGGAGGAGGAGAGTCGAGGGGTACAAGTACGAAGCCATCCCTTCAAGTAAAGCCGGGGGATAACGGAAAGGTATAGGCGAAAAACTCACAATTCATTCGAGCCGCTCCACTCCACCACATTTTCGGGAGCAACAGCCGCGCTGATGACGACGGGCAAAAGCCGACGCTCAGCAAAATTGTGAAAAGGGCACCGGGGTCGAAAGTCGGTAGTAGCGGATGTATCATCTAAAATTAAATTGGATTTTCCTAAATAAAGGAGGATTTGTTTTCCAAAAGAGTGTTTTTTGGCTGAAATCATCAAAAAGCAAAGAATGAAAGCGAACTGTTGTATACTGGATGGAACTAGGTGCAGCATGAAGGGATTTAAATAAGCTGCCAAAAGGTCTCACAAAGTCTCGATGACTGAGATGGAAAGGGGAGGAAGGGGCGGGCAAACGGTCAGTCCACGGGAGGTGGAGGAGGCACCCTTCCAGTATTAGTCCCGCCCACTTTCCTACAAACCACCACCTCCCCCTACTCCTCTCCATTGCCCCCCATAAACAAAAATTGTGCGCTGAAACACACAATTTGCCAGCCCAATCTGCCCGCCCCTTTAATTGCATTATTTGGATGCTTGCAAAATCACTGTCAAGGATAAAAAAATATTTATTGACTTTCAACGACAAAAAGGGGTGAACCCGACCCATTTAAGAAGGCGCATATAAATTATCGTTCTTGGAAACAACGGGTTGGTGTGCCGAGATCACAAGCTACAGCCGAGGCAAAAAAAGAATTGATAACATCGGTATCGTTCACAGGGAAAGGGAAGTGACAGACATTCGAACATTTAGAAGACGTATTTGAGATAAGGGATGTCCACATCTTCCCCATCGCCGTCTTCCCCCATCACCTAGAAAAGGTATACTTTAGCGAGTAACGAATTCTTAATCGGAGCGAGCCGGTGAAAAAAACTCAATTTTCGGCGGCGGGTCACTGGGGAATTCTTCCAATGCTACCCCACTGCCACGGATACTTGTCGAAAATACTCCGCAAACCCAAAAGTCCTGAAAAATTACCTCCAGCACCAGTGAATGAGCATACGGAGGGATTTCTTTCTTCGAAACCTCGGCAACAACGTCCCGGAGCCTAAAAACACAATTTCCAAAAAATTCAACCTAATGCTTACTCCATTGGCATGCGCTTCGTGCGATTCTGTGCATTCATAAAGAAGGAATAGATAAGCGACACGCCTGAAGAGACCATCGTCACATTGTCCACGCCAGTTTTGTTCTAAAGGAGAGATAAAGAAGCCAAACGGTAGTCTACCTTAACCCATTCGATAACCTGCTCCAACGACATTGGCGCCGGCACTTCTAGGCAATCCCATTGGGTCCAGGAGACGCTTCCGTATTTCTTCTCTTCCGCCTTGATAGGATCGGAAAAGCCGAAGAACGGCAAAGCCAAGTTGATGAAGCCGTTGCGGAAGTTCTCAAGTGGGGTGCTAGGCAGCTTATTGCCGACGTCGATCATCTGGAAACAACGATGAAATGAATCTTGGTCTGCAGCTGACTAAGAAAATGAGGGGATCCCAACGCTACCTTGAACAACTCGATGCATACAAGGCCAGCCACAGCAGCCGTCGTTGTAGCCAACGCTGGGATGATGCGACCAGCAATCTGCTTCGTCTTGAGAACATCGGCTGGCTGGATGTCGTAGTTTGCAGCTCGCAAGTTGCTGCAGGCGGTGATGAACTCCATGTGATGGTTGGTGTCGTCGTCTTTCTCAAAGTCGATCGGCTGCAACTTTTTCATGGCAGCCGGGTCAATCTTGGCGAGCTTCGTCTTGAGATGAACTTCCGCCTGTTCACTATCTAAAAAAACAGAAAGGTTAGCGAAGCTTTTGAGCTACCAGCATCAACACGCTCGTTCATCTCTTTGGCTTCGGCATCCGTGACGGCGATCTTGACTCCTTGCTTGGCCACGAATGGCTTCACAGTCACAGAGGAAGCAATCTTGGCCACCGTTTCCCTGAGCTTACGTTTTAAACGTAAAGAAAAGTTTACTGGTCCAAAATCGGCTTCATGTTGTATTGCTCGGCGCGGAGGATCGACGCGGCATAAACGAAGTGGAAGTGCTCGGGCTAAACAACATAAAAATTGTCAAGAATTCGCGAGGCAAACCTGTGAAACATCAAAGGTCAGTGCGTGCGGGCAGCGCTTGGTACCACTCCAGAATTTAGCTCCCTGATCGGTCATCATATTCGGAGGGAACATGTGAAGCATTTGAGCAATGGTATCGTGGAAATTCGCCTAAAGATATGAAATACCGGAATCCGAAAATTTAGATCACCTGGAAGAGAGTCCTCGCCCAGACGACACAATCCTCGGGAGATTCAGGCTTGTCCGTGGCCAGCGCATTCGCCACAGCCTCCAACATCTCAAGCTTTTGGTTGTGGGCCAACGTTTCGAGGTGCTTCATGAATTCGATACCGTCCTCCAAAAAGCGGTTGGCATTCTCGGACGGCTGGGAGAAGAGCGCTAAACGAGGAGAATTTATGGAAAAACAAAATTCAACCTACTTTCAAATTGGTCCCGGGCCCACTGGATAGTATGTTGAATTTCGTTGGGGAAGTTCTTCAGTGTGCAAATCGGGATGTCCTTCTCCGGAGGGTCTTGCGAGCTCCTAAAGAATAAACTAACTGCGGCAGTCAAATAACTCACGAGTAGCTTTCAGTGAGATATGGGTAGACGACTTGGATATTGCCCTTGGTGCCCAGAGTGCCAGATTCAAGCAACGGCAGTCGGTAGAAGAGACAGCGACGATCCATGTAACGGCGAGCGTCCACATTGTCCAGCGCGTTCAGGACACCATTTAGATTGCTGAAGAACTCGTCGGTGAAGATTCCTTCAGTGTCGGCTCCAACACGCTCAGCCATAGCCTAAACAAAATAATATTGAAGTGATTGGAATTTGGGTAAGCTTGCAAATTGAACAAATTTACCTCAATTTTGAGTTCAGGGTTGAATTGCTTGACAGCACGAGCAGCTACTTCGGACTTCTTTTGCTAAAAAAATAGGATATTAGTAAAGTAACTTTTCTTACCCCAACATCCGGACGCCTGAACAGGAACTGTCGATTGAGGTTGCTGATCTCGATTTGGTCCATGTCGGTGATCTTCAGCAAACCATCGCTACCGCAAGCCACACCCATCATTGCAAGGTTCTTCAGCAGCTCGCATCCAATAGCGCCGGAACCGACGATGAACCTAAGATTAAAATAGTTATGACGTCGAAACCACCAAAACATTTTTTCGCCAATTAATTTAGCGGCGGTCATGATTTGGTCTTGTGCAGCTGCTTTTCGCCATAGTGTTGTCGTGGCGGCCGGCAAATCCAATTTTCCTCGCGATAAGTATTTAAGCGGAGGATTGACCAGCACCTGTCATTCCTCCTTACCCGCTTCCACAGCTAGTTTCCCTTGCCTAATGAACAACCCAAAGCTAGAACTCAACCACGTAACTGACAATCCGCAGAACTTTTATACAGGCCAAAATGTTGGTAATCCTGAACCACTAACAAACCAACTTGGTGGCTATGATAACACGAACATTTCCACAATTCCTAAAGACTTTACTCCGACAACCCTCAGCCTAAGTATCGTGCTATCTTTATTTGTCCTTATTTCTCTGAGCTACAACGTATTATTTTTTGCGATCCTATATCGGAAAAGGAGGACGCTCAAGGTAAGCACTTTCGATAATAGTAACGCGTCTTTAGTTCCCATTCTACAAAATCGTCTGGCAAGTGGTGTCTTGTAATGTAGTCTACGGGCTAGTCCAAACAATGCTGACAATCCCATACCTATTTGCAAAAGATGCGATGTACGGTACTTATACGGAAGCTGTAAACATGATCTGCGACTGGTGGATGGGCACCGAAATGCTACTACAATATGCGACCCTTTGTTTCGTGATGACAATAGCAGTGAATCGCTTTTGCATCTTTGCTAGCGACAAAGCGTCACAGCTCTTCTTCAACGGGTTTTGTTAAAAATTTTTGTGACAAAGCTGCGTCTAGGAGATCAATCTATTTCACTATCGCGGTCGGGTGGTTTATTAGCAGTATCCCAGTGATATTTGCCGCATTGATGCGGTGCTCACGGGAATACGGTAGGACAGGTGCTATCCCTAATAGAAAAGACCTAGATGCTGACCATGGCATGTACTCTGACGTGTGCTACGTGAATATGGCTTCATCTGTGGTCGGAGCTTATCAGGTACCCGGCATTATAAACGAAATGCAGCCTTGCTAGATCCTGATGCTAACCTTTGAATGTACTCCCTTCATAACTATCCTCCTATACATCGGATTGTACTTTACTATCGTACGCCAACGACAACAAAGCCCCATCGCAAAAACGGAAACTGGAAAAATTCCCCTTGAGACCAAATTGTTACATCAAGCTATCTTTATCAATGGGATCTACCTGGTAGGATTAGAACATTATAACAGCAAAAGACAGCTGGTTTAGATCTACACGGCAGTTATTTTCGCTCAGACACATATAGTGGTCGACGGTCAAACTGCGTACACTATGTATATAATTGGCAAAATCACCGCAAATTTCTACACGTTATCTTTTCCTGTAGTGTTCTTGATAACTAGCAACGAGATACGAAATGAGGTAGAATCCCAAGCTAAAGTTATAGTGCTTAGGCGCATAAACTACTTCCGGCATCGCTACATATGTTGGTCTACCAACAACCGAGAAAGTGCAGCCTCACAATGGTCAGTCCGACTGCTTCGACTAAAAACAGCCAAGGAAGCCGACCAAGCACGATGGAGAAAAGTCTTACAAAAACCACCCGCGACTCATCCCAGTGATAATAATAAATAGAAATGTACCATCTCTGGTTGGCGAGCTCCTCTTGGTACTTCCATCCGAACACAGCAGCCTGCGAGTCGTAACGGCTATTCCGCGGGGCACAGTCCGAAGCTGTCAGCTTCGCATTGTCGAGACCGCTCCATGAGCCAGGAAGGGCCTCAGTGTGATGGAAGTAGACAAACTAAACAGAAGCTTCCACATATTCAAACAGTAACACAAACCTGCTTGAGTGGGGTAGTGTGATGGGTGACCGCCTTCATCGCCTCCTGAGCAGCAACACCTCCAACGACCGAGCAAACGTTGACAAGCAGTCCGGTTGCTTGGTATGAGAATGCCTTCAGAAGGGCCTCATCCACCTCCGCACCAGCAGGAAGCTCTGCTTTTAGTAGCGCCGCATCGTTGTCACATCGCGGAGCGGGCGAACGGCCGTGCTGCAAATATGGACAATGAAGAAAGATATCGATGGTACCTTGGCTTCAAAGGCATACAGCGCCTGGAAGAGGGCGTGAAGTTGTTGAGGGTAGTCCCATTTTGCGAAATCCCAATGGACTATATCCGGCTTCTCAAGTGCTTCCGGGAGTGACAGAAAGTCGACATAAGTAGCGACTTTGACTTGGCGGCAGCGTCCTCCGTCCGTGTGTTCACCGAAATCAGCCGGCAGCTTTCCAATCGTAAAGGTTTTCGAATCTAAAGAAGGGTCAACTGAACGCCGAAAATGGACGGCGTACTTTTCACGGTGACTTTGAATGGAGGAGCGTCGTTGATTTTCGGCATGCCTTTCACTTCGCTAAAGCAGATGTTGTTCGAATATCCAATTTAACATGCCTAAAAGCCACATGATCGCCATCTTCCAATCCGTGCATTGTCTCAAGCCCAGTCACATCACCGCTCTCATGATCGATGTGCTCCACAAGGAACTAGAAAAAGTACAATATAGGGGCAACTAACAAATGGCAACTTCTCGGCACTGCTCCCCATTGGTATCGTCGATTCGGAACTGCTTTCCAAAATCCGCAAAGATATAGCTGGAGATACACGTATGGTTGGAGTTTATAAAAAAACCTGAATAGACCGCGGGAGTCGGCAACCAAAAGCTTCTTATTGGATTCACGGACCCATTTGGAGACTTCTAGCTGCTCTTGGAGTGGTGTGTCGGTCAAAACAATAAGCTAAAAACAAGATACAGCAGAATGCGGGTACCAACATCGAATTCAGCGATAAATTCCTTGCTCAGCGGCTGCTTGTTGAATGCACATGTGACGCTGTCGTTGAGTTCAGCCAACCTGCAAACGACATGAATTTGTCACGCAAAAAAACGCGTACCTTTCAAAAGAAGCTTCCGCACGATTGTTGCCTAAATCGGTCTCCCGAAGATAATACTGTGCCGAAAGGTCTCGCCAAGTGGTCGGCTTGACATCATGGATCGTAACGTGGCGCACACCACCAAGAATAAGATTCTAGGGAGATAAAATTAGAAAATCGCGACGCCCACCTTAGCGATTTCAACTCCGACACCGCCGAGACCAGAAATCAACACGGAGCTTTTGCGCAGGTGCATCATAGCCGATTCACCGAGTGCATAACTAAAACAAATTTTAAGCCACTCGGAAATCCTCACATCTGACGGCTGTACAAGTTGGTGTCCACGTCACCCATGTTCCTCGTGAAACCGTTGGCCCCATTGGTGGTAGACTCAGAAACATCCATTTTCTCATCATTCCCTCCGGACATCTTGAAGCTTGTTTCCTAAAAATCGACGTTAAAGCGCTTAAATCGATGAATTATGACGTAAAATGTGCAGGAGAAATGCTGACAATTCCTTGCGTAAGAGCCACGATATTGAGATAGTGGGGACAGGAGAGAGACGCAGCGCAAGCGCGAATAGGGGCATGGCCAAACACAGACGGGGTGATGGAAATATTTCTCCCGGGGACGTACCAGATGACAGATCGCCTGTTTCACTTCGTCAATGATAAATGACCGATACATGCAATAAAAGCAGATGTAGTGTGAAAATCAATGCTGGAAAGGGGCGGATCAAATCGGAAACCGAGCGAGAAAAAAAAAACTGTTAGCATTAGAAAGACTTTTGGAGTAACAGTGAAGTTGATAAGAAGGGATAGATTAAATTGAGATGTTGTTTGGTGTCGAAAAAAAAGCGGAGCTAGCCAAAGAACCAACAAGGAACTTTGCACGTCGCGTGCACAGCACTCACCTTATGGTCGCTAAGCTCGACGATGCGTGCACGTTTATTTGGAGGAGAAGCGGACAGCTCAACTTGCTTGTTCGTCAGCACCGAACTCATCTAACAGCTCAAAGTAAATTAATCCTTTTATCAAACCGGGCTTACCGGGGTTTTGGGGGATCCAAACGTTGAAGAGCGATCCGGAGAATGCCCAAAAACGCTTGTACCTAAAAATACATACATGAAAAATGTGAAGTTTTATAGGGATAGTAAATAGAATAAGTAAAATATCGCGATCAAGGTAAGAATAAGTATTGAAGGGAGCTTTTGGCAAGAAAATAGGGTCAATAAGATTTGAAAATTTGAGCCCTCTCAGGGATGAAAGAATTTGGGAACTTTAGAGTGAATTTTTGAAGGCAGATGCATAAGACGGATATCTGGCTCCACAAAAAAATAGAAATGACGGCAATTGACCCAAAGTGAGCTGTGGTACATCATACCGTCCATTGGAGCATCGTGTACACTCCGTTCCGATCCAAAGAACAATATTTTAGCGGGTTACTGTCGGTAACGGGCGAAATTTCAAAATTTAGTTATTTCGCAATTTTGGATCACACATATTCGATTTCTTCTAATAAGTCCTCAAAGATGGCTTTTAGGCGGACGGCTTTAGGGATTTACGTCGATTTTCGAATTAATCTAAAACAGCCACTTCCCTGCTGACTTTCTGATGACCCTCAAAAAATTTTAAAATTAAAGAACAGTGGCTCCTCCGGCAAACCAGTGTTCTTTCTATTCTACCATTTGTAGGCTACATTAGCTATAACGAGTTTAAAACGGGAAAAACGTTTTGAAAGAAGGACTTTTCGGGAAGACACTGCGTCTCTGGCGTGGGCACCCAGCACTGGGTTGCCTAGCGCCCTCTTACACCGAACCCACTCTCATGTTCATTCCTGTCGTTGCCGGCTTTTCGAATATTTTTTAACTTTCAGCATTGCATTTTATGGCGAGAAAAACTCCAAAAGGAAAACCCAGGAACCCTCCGACAAAGAAAGCCACCAAGACGATCAACAAGAAGCGGATGGCTGTCAACTACAAGACCGTTCGGCTTCGCGAGGATCCTCAACTCGACATCGATTTTAGGATGGTAGCTGTCATTTCCTAACTATTAACTTCTTTTCTAGGGCGATGTTTTTGATGACGTTGCGGACGCTTTGGTCGTCACTTCCAATAGGGAGGGCCTCATCAATCGAACCGTCCACAACAAGTTACATGCTTTATATGGCACTGGCACTGTAAAGGTACGCCTCCGTGGTTGTTCAAATCAGATTTAGGCGGCATTTTTGAACGCGTTTTCGGGAAAGGTGCGACCTGGAGACGTCTATTCGCTCAATCTCACAGCTGATGGCACGACCACCCCCTACAAATATCTCATTCTTGCTGTTGAACCTAACCCGGGCCACATAGCGGTAATTTTTAAAAGGTTTCGATTGTTTGAAAATTTGACCCTTTTACTCTCAAATTTCTAGAAATGCTATGAGGCCTTGATGGACAAACTGGAAGCCCTACACATCGATTCAGTGACGGTCACTGGCCTAGGATGTGGTAACTTACCTCTAATTTCTTACCGATTCTCTAGGAGCCATGAATGTGTCGGCAGATGATTCGGCCAAGCACCTATCTAATGCGATCCAGGCCCGGATCGATACGGGCAGATTGGCCAAGCTGAAAGTAGGGCAATCTGGAACTTTGAGAAAAACTCTTTTTAGAACCTCATTGTCTGCGACATGATCGAGCACATCGTCAAGAAGTTTGCGCAGGCATTTTCTAACGGTTGGGATTCCCCTATGAACGCTCATGATTACTTAGACAGCGAGAGCACATCGACTGATGACACGGATAATGCTGATTTCACCTACGATGTGGATCCGAGCAAGGTGAAAGATCTTTCTGGTAGATGATCAAAATTTTTAGTTGACCGACGATCCATGCCCAATTTGTTTGATGGAATTGAACACTGAGGGGCTGACGGTCGTGGCTCTGAAGATTTGCCATCACATGTTCCACAAGGAGTGCTTCACAGTTGGTCGTTCGGGATGTTTTATATCTTTGTTTAGCAACTCGTCAATAACTCTGGTCCGAAGCGTTGCCCTAACTGCACGCTTTTCTTTTCGTTTCCGAAGGGTGATATGCCATCAAACGCAACGATGTCCTGCAACCTGGTATCCATTATATCAATACGCCAAAACTATTTTTTCCAGCATCGTGATAAGAAGGTTAAACTTGAGGGAGGCGTTGGCTACTATGAAATTGTTTACGATGTTCCGAGCGGAATCCAAGGGGTTGGTTTGGTGTTCACAACCTAATCTAACGTCGAATTACAGCCGATGCACCTTCGACCCGGTTTGCCCTACCGCGGAACTACTCGCTATGCCTACTTACCGAACACCGAAGCTGGTGCCAAAGTATGTTACTGCATTTTTCCCATTATTGGCTGAATTCAGGTGCTAAAGCTGTTGAAGAAAGCGTTCGAATGTCGCCTCACGTTTACGATTGGTGACTCAATAACCACTGGCGCTCAAAACGTCGTTGTATGGAACAACATTCACCACAAGACAAGCCTTCACGGCGGCGCCACTTCGTAATTTGCCACATGTTATTTATATTTTGTTTAGCTACGGTTACCCCGATGCCGATTATCTCGATCGCGTCACCGAGGAGCTGAAGAACGCCGGTATTACCGAAGAAATGATTGAGTAAACTGTTTATTGAAAGTAGTACTGACTGTGATTCTCCAATTACGTGTGCACTCCCTGGTCTCAAATACTCATAAGAAATACTGGTTTACGTGATCTCTTAATATGCCTTTTCCGGGAACTGGTAAGGCTACGAATAAACTTTTATAAAGGCGAAGAGGAGATTTATTACGGTTTCTAGCCACTTTTATCGACGTGGTTTTATCGATTCGTGGATTCGTACTATTTATTTTTAATAGAGAGTTGCTTTATGAGCACTCCGGCTGGGACGACCGTTCCAGGAAAAAGCGACTGCATAAAGACTGTCAACCGGCTCTATTCTGAGCTCTTCCTCTTCATCAATTCGTGAGCAATTTTGACCAATTCAGGTTATCCGCTTTTTAGATTTGATCGCGGGAATATCACCGAGAACGTCAACAGACTGAAACAGATTGAACAAGCGTGTGAACAACTAAAGGAGACGATCCGGCAAATCCCAGGAATTGATAGCGAAGAAGACGAACAGACTACGAAGATCCGATCACTCTACAAGCAGGTAGCCAGCATCGGTTTTGCTCAAGGAGGTTTTTAGATTCATTTGAAGGACAAACTGATTGATTCGTTTTCGGAAAGAACCCAAAAGCGAGAATAATGGTAAGACATAACGTCATTTCAACCGTATAGTTTAGGAGCCCGGCGACAAATTGAATCAAAAAGTTCACTGTTCCTATTGCAACAGCATCGTGTTGCTGCAGAACTTGGCTGTTTGGGACCCTGGTAAGCGTTACCATCTATGACTGAAAAATGGTTCTGGTTCAGTGTCCTTCGAATTGCCGATGGCTCAACAACGTAAGGAGCGTCAGGAACAAGAAGTGGACAAGGAGACATTGGAAGGATTTTGGGCGGTTAAGAATATGATGGACTTTGAAAACGTCGGATTTACTCATGCAGTCGGCGGGGTAAGAAAATTTGTTCCCAAACATAAAATGGTGTTTTTCAGTACAAATACCTCACATGTGCCGAATGCGAATATGGACCGATTGGATTTGTATGCAAGGAGACGGGTCTCAATTTGATCGCCCCCTCGCGTGTCAAAATTTCTGCAGAATGATCCTCACCTGTTTATCGGATAAATGAATTCATTACGAGGTTTTGCTATGAAGACTGGTTTTATCAACTAGACATACTTGTGGTGTTGCTGTTGAAGCTAATCTCATCTTCCAGGCAGACTTGTCAAAAAAAAAAGATGGCAGCTACCGAGGAGAAAGAATTGCCGGTGGTAAGTGAACAATCGTTTACGTCAATGATTGTATAGGCTTTGGGTTCCACGGTTGAGCAGCCTCTTGATTTGATTCGACTCAGTCTGGACGAGAAGGTGTATGTAAAAATGAGGAACGAACGAGAGGTAATGATTGTTCGTAACCTGAATATTGAATTTAGATACGTGGGAAACTACACGCATTCGACCAACATTTGAACATGATCCTCTCCAATGTCAGAGCCATTTTGGGGAAAATTTACTTTTATGGTCCCCGTCCGAAAAGCGGTTTTTCGTGTCGGAATCGATAGAGAACTGTTCGAAATGTGGTTTACAGTCGAAAAAAAAGGTCGGAAAGATGTTTTTAATAGGAAACAAGCGGTTTTTTTACGACAATTTGAGGACCATAAAATGGGGTACGGGGGACTGAAGTTTATGGTCCTCGGCCGAAAACCAATTTTTCTTGTCGGAAACTATCCAGAAATGTTCAAAATATCGTTTGCAGTTCAAAAAAATCGTCGGAAAGAAATTTTTTTGGGAGAAAATCAGTTTTTTCACGAAAATTTGAGGACCATAAAGGGGGGGTACGGGGGACTGAAGTTTATGGTCCTCACCTGAAAAGTGTTTTTTCTTTCACCAATTCAATAGATTAATGTTGGTAATGCATAGTAAATCGAAAAAAGTGCCGGAAAGATGTTCTTGGTCACCTCAGGCTTCTGAACAGCGTGCGGTACGTAGCATTGTCAGGCAAGGCGGGCCGTCGCTTCGGATGGGCTGCCGCTCCACTCTTCCGAAATCGAGGCGCCTGGGCGCTGCGCGCTGCTCGGGCGCCCCGATTTCGAAACCCTGTACGAGCTCGCACCCATCCGAAGCGACTAGGCCCCGGGTGGCACGAAGCCTTATTTTTAGGCTAAAATTGGGCTGAATGAATTTTTGTAACAAAATATTTTTTGAAGCTAATAAAGGTCTTTCCGACGATTTTTTTGAACTGCAAACGATATTTTGAACATTTCTGGATAGTTTCCGACAAGAAAAATTGGTTTTCGGCCGAGGACCATAAACTTCAGTCCCCCGTACCCCATTTTATGGTCCTCAAATTTTCGTAAAAAACTGCTTATTTCCTATTAAAAACATCTTTCCGACCTTTTTTTTCGACTGTAAGCCACATTTCGAACAGTTCTCTATCGATTCCGACACGAAAAACCACTTTTCGGACGGGGACCATAAAAGTAAATCAAGCCCCATTTTGACTTCACTTTTTTTGTTCTAGGTCGAAGAGACTGTCACGACGGTTGAGCTCGACGAAGAGTCTTTTGAGGAAATCTACAGACAAACCAAGCGGACATTGCCGATGTTGTTTGTCCGCGGCGATGCTGTGATCCTCGTTTCCCCACCAATGAAGGCGTCTTAATTGCGATTAACCGTTTCACTTTGCTTCCGGATGAACGGGAACCAACGTATCTCAAATATATGACGAATAAATGTTTACACGACCGCAGTTTTAGCACTTTTTTGGTTTCAATCAACTGCTATCTGCGAGGTAATTCCGAGTTGCGTCATTTTGCAGTTAGGCTGTGGGTATTGCGTCAGCATTACAAGAGGCTTAGAAAGCGTAACTAGGCGGAACCGTGGCATTTGCCATTTCCATTTGTAAGAAGACCCCGAAAACTTAGGAACGCTTGGGAAAACTTGCATGCTTCTTTTTAGTATTTTCAGTAGTAGTGCGCGTTTCCCCTCGGTTAGCAAAGCGCCCGCGGGCGCGCCCGAAAACCCAAAGCGCCCGCGAGCGCGCCCGAACTGGACCCTTTTGCGCCCCGGGCGAAATTTTTGCAAAAGGGCGCAAAACCGCCCCGGGCGCAAAAAGCGCCCATGGGCGCAACTAGGGGCGCGCCCGCGGGCGCATTTGAATGGTGAACACCTTTCAATTCTGCGAAAAAACGGCTAAGTTCCTGGATTATGCACTTATTTATGTTCAAAACATATATAAATTAACAAATACGTTACTAGGTTCGCTTGGTTATGGTCGTCGAATGTAGAATACGATACTTTGAAGCGCCATGGCACAGGTAAAGAAGGTAAAGTTTTGCTACGCAACCAGTCCCTTCAAAAAACTTTAAAAATACTTTAGATTTAGATTTATAGATTCTCGATTAATATAAGCCAACCTTTCAGACGATCATGGTCATCATTGCAAATGGGAAGCGCGACGTTTCCGGTATCTCTGGGGCGGAGTTGCAAAGTAAGTCGGCAAGAAGCAAATCAAAGCAAGTTTTCAGGAAGCGGGAAGAAAGTAAGTGCGAATTACGAAGTTTATAAAGGAAATTAGGTAATTAGCGACACTTTTAGGGGCCGTCTATCGCGCATTCGAACGTATCTGTAAGTTCCAAAAGAAGCTCAAGCCAAGAAAGCAAGAAAAAAACATATTTCAGGTGCGCAATACAACCAATTTCGCAGGGGACGTGAAGATCTACATTAAGTATAGGGTACAGCATCGTCAAAAGCGATGTAGTGCCCTTTTTTAAATAATAAAAGCATTAAAAGAACCCGACCTACGCCGTTACAACGCGATTGGGGCGCGCCCGCGGGCGCTTTCGAGTTTCGGGCGCGCCCGCGGGCGCTTTTGTTTGGCCATTGCGCCCGAGGGCGCGCCCGTGAGCGCGCCCGCGGGCGCAATTTCGGGCGCGCCCGCGGGCGCTTTACTAACCGAGCCGCTCTGTCCCCGCTAATATGCGCCCAGGCAACCGTGTCTTTTGTGCGGACAGCACATCGCACCTCTAGCTATCGTAATCAGTTTCCTGTATTTTCCCGCCTGTCACTCATCCGCCTTGACAACTTTGCGATTTCTCGATTCTAGGCTCTATTTTCCGCATTCGTGGCCACGCGTCTGAAAACGCCTTTTTTTCAGAGCTAGCCACCGCCGGCAGGATCTTCGATGTCTGCTCCACCACCCCTTAGCAAAAGTGAGCTTTTTCTCTTAGATGTGGGGTTCTTCGATGCCTTTTTTGGCAGCGCGCTAACTTGAGTTTAGGTAACTCATGTGGGCCAAAGCTGTTCTAATTGGGCGTATGCCTGCGCGGGCCTTATTGCGTTGTGCCAACATTAATCTGCAATTTTCGGCAATGCGCTCCAAAAAGAGGTAGCGCGCTTTCGTAACCAAGCAAAGCATAAAATACACCAATAATGAAAAAAATTGGGTTCATCCTTCATTCCAGTGAGCTGAAGCGGCTGCAGAAGCAGGAACGCCTAGAGAGGGAACGCCAGGAGAAGGCTGAGAAGCTGGCGGCTGCGGGAAATGGCCCTGCTGCGAGAGCGGAGAGGGCGGTTGACCCCTCCGATCCAGAAGAGTATTTCCGTATGCGTGTTCGGATGATCGATGACAAAAGGTTGTGCAATTTTTCAATAAACAAATGCATTCTTTAGGGCTGCTGGAGGGAATCCTTTCCCGCATAAGTTCCACGTTTCGATCTCTCTGGTCGAATTCAATGAGAAGTACGCTCACTTGAAGAACGAAGAAGTGCTCGAGGATACTCTTGTCACACTAGCCGGACGCATTTTTTCCAAGCGCGAGGCCGGCTCGAAGCTGATCTTCTATGATGTCCAGGGGGAAGGCACCCATCTCCAGGTCCGTGACACTTCCGGTTGCCAAGCCTCTTCTTTTAGATTATGGCCAACGCCCGCTTCCATAACATGACCGAGGACTTTGTGGAGACTCATTCCCGCGTCAAGCGCGGAGATATCGTCGGTTTCAAGGGTCATCCTACCCGGAGCAAATCCGGCGAACTTTCCTTGGTTCCAGTGGAGCTGGAGCTTTTGACGCCGTGCTTGCACATGCTCCCTCATACACACTTTGGACTGAAGGACCAAGAGACCCGGTATGCATTAGCGTTTAAATCCACATGTTTTCTTAGATATCGTATGCGGTATCTGGATTTGCTGATGAACCCAGCTGTGAAGAACAAGTTTGTCATCCGCTCAAAAGCCATCACCTTCCTCCGCCGTTATCTCGACAACCTAGGCTTTTTTGGAGGTAATTTCTTGAGCCTGTTCTTATAACTGCGTCGAATTATAGGTTGAGACTCCGATGATGAACATGATTGCTGGTGGTGCGACGGCTAAGCCCTTCATCACCCATCACAACGACCTCAATCTTAATCTCTTCTTGCGTGTAGCTCCCGAGCTGTACCACAAGGTTTGTTGGCACCTCCTTCGTTAAATTTCGCTTAGATGCTTGTTGTCGGAGGAATCGATCGGGTGTACGAGATTGGACGGCTTTTCCGAAATGAGGGTATCGATCAGACCCATAATCCGGAGTTCACGTCTTGCGAGTTCTACATGGCCTATGCTGATTATGAAGATGTTATGCGCCTGACGGAAGACTTGCTATCCAGTTAGTCATTGTTGTCGCGATTTTTAATTGCGTCTTTAGAAATGGTTTATCATATCCATGGAAACCACAAGATCGTCTACCATCCGAACGGTCCCAACACGGAGCCCGCGCATGTGGTAAGCTATTTTAAGTAATCGGACGTTTTTTCTAGCTCGACTTTACCCCGCCGTTCCGCCGAGTACATATGTACGCTGGATTGGAGGAGGTGCTCAAGGTGAAACTGCCTCCGGCAGACACGCTGAATACTCCTGGTTGGTCACCTGAGAATTTTAAATTGTAGCTGATGCTCATCTGCTGATAATCATTCTTCAGAAGCCGTTGCTGCGCTCGACAAGATCGCTGTCGACAACAAGGTAGAGTGCCCTGCCCCCACGCACGGCCGCACGTCTTCTGGACAAGCTCGTTGGCGAGTTCCTCGAGCCGACGTTCATCAGTCCCACCTTCCTCATCGGCCACCCGCAAATTATGTCGCCGTTGGCCAAGTGGCATCGGTACGAATTTAAAGGTTTCTCTTGAGAGTTAATTTTAGTTCTATCCCTGGTCTGACCGAGCGCTTTGAACTTTTCGCCGCTGAGAAGGAGCTTGCCAACGCCTACACGGAGTTGAACGACCCGCTGCGCCAACGCGCCTGTTTCGAACAGCAAGCCAAGGTATGGGACAGCGGTTAATTATTTAGATTTTTCTGTTTAGGATAAGGATGCCGGGGACGATGAGGCGCAAATGGTTGACGAAAACTTCTGCACGGCCCTGGAGTACGGACTGCCACCGACGGCCGGTTGGGGCATGGGTATCGATCGACTTTCCATGTTCCTCACTGATTCGCATAATATCAAGGTGACTTTAGCTAACGCGTAGAAGCCCCCGTTTTGGCGATATAGATAATCTGCAAAGAATTTAATTACATTGATTTTATTTTCCAGGAGGTGCTCTTCTTCCCGGCGATGCGTCCCGAGGACAGCACCCCAGGCCCAGCTCCCGTCGGCGAGGCCAAGGAGGAGAAGAAATAAGCCCGTCGCTTCCGAAACCACCACCAAATATGGCTTTATTTATCGTTCCCTGTGTGTTGTTGTTTTCCGCGTTTAGACCACAAGTGTTGTTTTCGATTTGTTGTTTCTTGTTCTCTGGATAAACCTTTTTTAACCAAAAGGGCTATTATGCGCCGCGGTGTTTGGGAATATGGGGGTTAGGATCGGCTGGGTGTCGAGGAGGGTTATCAGAGCAGGGCGAATGGTTGTGTTCCCACCCCCCGGCTATTGTGCCCGTCGGATCAGCGCCCTCTTTTGTCGGAGGGTGCATCCGGTGGCTGGCGGGGGGGGGGGGGGGGCTACTGTATGCCTTTTAGATGTATACTTCGAGGTCAACTCGAGTCGAATCGTTTTGAGCGTATGGTTTGCGAATGAGACAGAAGGAATGGAGAGATCCCGTGTGGTGCCAAATCAAGAATTAAGGGGAGGATATTGAATGGGGACAATCTCGCACGAATTGAGGATTGTGTGAGGTACCTTTAGTGCTAAATTGGTGGTTGACATTATAATTGATTGCATTTTAATAGATTTAAAATTGCCTTAGTGTCGTCGTGTGTCGCGTTGCCTTAGTCTTTCTGCGTAAACAAGCGTTTTGTCGAAAACGAGAATGTCGACACTCATTTGCCAAAATGTCAGCTAGTCGACAGAACAATAATAACATAGCTATTTTTGGCCGCTAAACAGGAGGATGGATTTTCGTCATTTGAACTTTCGACTAAATGAAATGTCGACAAAGTGAATTTCGACATTCTAGTTTTCGGAATCCTGATAGTAAAAACCTGGCTACCCATCATTACTTCTAAAATAATTACTTCTAAAATCATTACTTCCAAAAGTCACTACTTCTAAAAATCATTACTTCTAAAATCATTACTTCTAAAACCATTGCTTCTAAAGATTATCTAAAGACTTCGAAAATTCTTAGCGTCGAGTTCCGAATAAATAAGACCAAATTTTCCGAAATACTGATAGTCGACGAACTAAATCTTAAAAGTAATGATTTTAGAAGTAGTGTTTTTAGAAGTAATGATCGTCCCCCTAAAAATCTTTATACTAGCCACCCCCTGGCCTTGTGGAGGATACGGTGAATACCCAGCCTGGCTGCTGGTTGGCCGGGAGGGCGGTGCTCTGTCCGTCTGTCTGTGTATGTCTGTATGTGTGTGCCTCTGTCTGTCTGTCTGTTGGTTGTTAAAGGGGGTGGGTCTTGTTGCCCTACCCATCTATCCATCCATCCATCTATCCATCCGAAGTCAGTGGAGGGCGTCGAAGCGGATGGCTGCCCCCGTAGACGCCCCATGGGCCGTCGTCCCCTCATCTGCGTTGGTGGCTGCCGGGCCGTATGGAGCCGCTGCGGGCCCGTATTCAACCCCGTGGCGTTTCTCATTGCCCGTACACGATCATGGCCATACTGGCATCAACCAACTGGGTGGAGTGTTCGTTAATGGACGACCGTTGCCGGATGCTATCCGGAATCGGTAAGTTCTTTGGGTGCTTGGGTATTATCGGGGGCAAAGTTGCCTACGAACGTAATACTAAATTTTGTAATAGCTGTTTTTACTTAATTTTATCCAAAAAAACTAGCAAGATTTTTAAGACTGGAACTTTTCGTCGCAAAACGGGACTTTTTATCGACGAATCGATATTTCTTAGTGCAGATTTAGCTTTTTCGTAAAGTGCTTACGCTTAGGAAAAGTAGAAACGACTTAGAAGCACGTCCGCAACCCATTTTGTTAAAGTATAGATTGATTATTTATATTTAAGGGCAGCGATTCGTTCAGAATTTATTGCTGAATTTGCTTCGAACGGTTTTCCGCTGCTTATTGATATAGATTTTCTATTATATCAACGTTAATTTCAGAATTATCGATCTGGCCCATCAGGGCGTTCGACCGTGCGATATCTCGCGGCAGCTACGGGTGAGCCACGGCTGCGTCAGCAAGATTCTCGGCCGATTCTACGAGACTGGCTCGATACGACCAGGTACGGTCTTGCATTTATGATATTCTAAATGTATTGTTAGCTTGATTTAGTAAGATCTTTTAGAATTGCTGTCCAAAGCAAAGCTATTTTAAATTATACGTGTTGAAGAAACACGTAACACCCCGCGATATTTGGCAGCTAATAGGTGTCGATGGCTACCTTGAGCCCCTCAGAAATGAATGGCCCCCTCCTTCTCCTCCTCCCCTTCCCATATGCTAATCCGTTTAGCCTTCTTGGTGTTTGCCGCGCCCGCCGGAACTCAAACAAAACCTCGCGAAAATTGAGGTCATCCCGGGGATAGTATCGCCTTGCAAAGCCCTTTTCCGGCCTTGGCTTTTGCCGGAAGCGCTCGAGGGTTCGGGCTTAGAATCGTTGGAATAGGCCTGCAGAAAATGCATCATTTTAACTTTGCCTCTCTTGGCGGAACACGAAAAACGCTGTGGACACCTTAAAAAGCACCCCTACGCGCTGTGGAAAGTAATGCTATGCGGTTACCCACTTCCTCAACAAAAGCCAGTATTCTTTGGGCTATGCCTAGGAATGGGTGACATTTGGGAAAGTGGTGAATGCCGCGCGTGAAAACGTTATGGGACCCGGTGGCGCCGCGGGGGTGTCGGGATAACTTTTAGGGAGGTTTTCGACGAAAATCTTCCAGGAGTCATCGGCGGATCGAAGCCCAAAGTGGCCACACCTCGCGTCGTCGATTGTATCACGGCCTATAAACGGAATAACCCGACAATGTTCGCCTGGGAGATCCGGGAGCGGTTATTGCAGGTTTGTCGTTTTTCCGGATTCAGCCAAACATGGGGTTCTTTTGCATTATGGGGGGTGGGTATTTTTGGAAGGATTCATAGATTGTTTTTTTCGGATGCCTTTAAGTAGAATATTCCATTTCTTTGTAAAACCAATAACCACTTTTCAGACAAAAATCTAAAAATTTTAGATATTTTTGTAGCTGTCTAGGTAGCTTTTCCACTTGTAAAAAAGCCAGATGTTACTAAAAACACCACCAAAAGGATTGCCATTGCATTATTAGGACTATCTGAACTAATAGAAGATACTAGTCCCCCCCACGGTAATGTAAAAATACCGAAAATGGCGTCATCATTTCAGGAGCGAATTTGCGATGCGGAAAATGTGCCTTCGGTCTCGTCGATCAACCGAATAGTTCGAAATAAAGGCCCTGTTCCGATGGCCAACCATCAACAGAATGGATCACCGGGGGCACAGGTTTGAAGTGGAATTATCGATAAGTACACTTCATTCCTCAGAACATTCCACCTTCCTCAATTCAACAGCAACCTTCATCAATTCCCCTCCAACTTCCGCCCTCGGCTTTTCACACGCCCTATTCGATCAACGGGCTGCTTGGCTTTGATAAGGTTTGTTTTTAGGGTAGCTGTTCAAGTGAAAGGCGGAAACGGCAACTAGCAGAGATATTTAGGGAATTTTCACATCAGGTCGCTGACCATTTTTTCGGAATTTTTAAGGGAATCTAGCAAAAAACTTTAGGAATATAAAACAGAATGGCACGTTAGCAGAAAGAATTTGGGAATTTGTGAATCAAGATCAAGCGATTTTTTTGAAAAGCATGTAAGGCAGGCTAGCCACACGAATCGGGTAAAATACCAGAATACCAAAGGGCAGACTAGCAGCAATATTTCGAGCAACTTTTAGTAGACTTTTTAATTTTTAGAGGACAAGCTAGCCGAGTCACTTTGCGGAAAATTATCTATCAGAAGAGGACGCTATTTTCAGGACTGGCTGAGCCGGGCGCAGGAGTCGCAGTTGGCGCACGAGACCGCTTGGTGCCATCTCCAGGCATTTCCGCAGAATCACCCATATTTCGTGGCGGCTCCCCATCAATCCATTCAACCCCCTCCTCCTAAGGGCGATTAAAAGTGGCTTCTAAGGACCCCAAAATTTTTTTTATATTTTATTCAGCGATCTACTGTACCGGTCTTAACAAGCCCATCCAGAAATATTTTGTAAAAATCAGTTCTTAAAATTTAGATTAAAAAAAATTATTTTTTCAGTTTTTCCAAAAAGATAAAATTAGTTTTATTTCTTTTCCTTGTTCCTCGAATCTCATCCTACAAGTCTCGATGTGGCCTTATGCATCCATAGAATCCCGAATTGTGGAAATTATGAATTATGCGAATTTTAAATAAATATCTAAATATCTACAGTACCCGCATGGCATACGGCAGTGAAATGAATTCTCTCTCTCTCTCTCTCTCTCTCTCTCTCTCTCGCTCTCTCCCACTCTCTCTCTCTCTCTCTCCCTCTCTCCCACAAGAATTACGCCTTTTGAAAACTATGGCTTCCGCGAACTTGCTAAATTTCTACCGTATCCCGCCTGGCATCCGGACGCAATGCAATTTGTTTCCACTCTCTAATTTGCCTATCTAATACTGACAGTCCATTAGTGGTGTCTTCCTTCCCCCAGGAGACCCACAACCCGCAATCCGATTCACCCGTCTCCAAGCAGCCCCCCTTCCGCCCTTAAAATTGGGACCCATTTCTCCAAATTTCATTGCCGCCCCGATGACAGACACGATGGGGGGAAGAAGCTCGTCGAATTTTGCTTTTCTCGAAAATTTCGAAAATTGAGGGGTATCTTACAACAAATATACAATTTGTGTTAAATTCTACGTTTTTACGTACTTCTTAAAATTTTTTTTGAGCGTTCACATTTCTGCTACGCTTGCCGGTTCCTTTAAAATCGAGAGTAGGGCCGTATTCCTTGGGCGGCAATGGCCCACCCTGAATGGCGTGCCCCCTGGGAAATGAAGTTGAGTGCTTTTAGGGGGGTATTGGGGTGGTAGAGTTGAGGAGACAAATGAATTGCCAGCTCTGGGCAGGAAAGGGCCTAAGCCTAAGCCTAAGCCTAAACTATTCACTAAAGCACCAAAATAGAGTAAGAATTAAGTTGGTTAAAATCCGAAAAATACGGGGGTCGAGAGGTAGCGCAGTCGGTAGGTGGATGGTTACTAATTTGGGGATCATCGGTTCGATTCTGGTCGCTATTTTTTCCTGTTTCGATGTTTCTGCCCAAACGATCTTTGCTAGCCTGCCCAAACACGAGTTGCCTGGTGGTGCGAACTATTAATTTGTAGCCACAATCCGGCCTTGGGTGGCCGGTACCTCCTATTGTCATCCCGATTTGTTATCGTAAGCCAATTGGGGGGGGGGCAATTTTGAGGGACACGAACAATTATTCGAGGTGACCATCCGTGTCTCTGTTTCGCTCGCTCGCTCGCTCGCTCTCTCTCTCTCTCTCTCTCTCTCTCTCTGTCTACAATACCCACCCGGGTGGCTCCAACAAATCCCGCAATATATGCTACCAATCATGCCTAAGGATATTGGCCAGCTAGCAGAGACCATTTGGGGGAAAAGATACGGTAACCCGGCCAAGTGCCGATCAGGTTTTCGTCAGGCCGGCAAAAAGCCTTTGATGGGAGGCAAAAGGGGTATGTGGTGGGTACGGTAGATGGGACAGGGCGGGCGACGATTTGCATCATTGGTTCTGGCTTTCGGAAGGTGACCCGGCCTTAAACTGACAATAGAAAAGGGGAAGGAAGGGGTAAAAGGCGAGGTAACCACACGAAAAAGCGCAATAGCTAGAATTTGGGCCAGTCAACAGTATTTAAAGGGGCTCAGACGTCTAGGAATTAAGCCCCGTTGTAGACTAGATCTGGCCAGCTACCTGACGATTAAAATTACACTTTCAAGCTGTGGATTAACGCCGAAGACCCGTATTTTTGCTTGGTCTTCCACGCCATTTAGCATTGTTTTTATTTGGCGCCCAGAATATCGGCCGTCGTCGCAAGCAGTAGATGGGAACCGAGAACAACGAGTTCAACATATCATCTGCGGGGGTTAGACGGTGAATTCCAGCGAAGCGGCCAGTGATTCCCTTTCATCATCATATGAGGGGCCCACAGCCGGTCTCAGGCTACTCGACGAGGCATTGTTGTTACGGGACCACACCGGTTTTTGTTCCTGCAAATCGGCGAGATTTCGTACAGAGAGAGAGTAAGAGAGAGCGAGAGAGAGTGAAAGAGCGAGAGAGAGTGAGAGAATGAGCGAAAGATACCCCTAAAAACCTCAAATATTCACCTCAATATCCTGAAAATTGTGCAACGGTATGGCAATTGGCGGGGCGGTAGCCTGAAGCATCGCACGGAGTGGACTTGTGGGTACGGTATTTAGAGCACCTGATAATTAACGGCTGGCAGCAAAAACCTAGCAATCACTTACGGATATCATCCCGGATCTGCCGGATTAACACATCCGTATCTGCCTCGACCAAATCGGCCCTAAACTGCCCATTTCCGTACTGCCCGCCTAGACGTACTTGCAGAGATGGTTGATGATCCCTGCACCAAATCCATCTCCCAACACGTTCACCGAAGTGCGGATACGATCTCTATTTACAAAGTGACGACAGATCTACCGTAGACCTACAGTAGCCAATCGACAGTGAGCACGAGACTGAGATGCTTTTGGGGCAGCCCGACCGTGCTCAACACAACGATGATTGTGTCGAGACCGGCGGGTACAGATCCCGACCCGATTGAGGCCATTGTTGTCGTGATACTAAAGTGAGGCTTTAAGAGTTTCAAAAACCACATTTTTGCATTTTTGGTGTGTGCTATATATTTTAGTCGCCTACCTAATCGTCAACAAATTCAGCGTGGTCAGCTTCATCTTGTTTAGCTGGGCGAGGAAGATGACGGCAACAGCTTCGTACAGTGCCGTTCCATCCTAAAAAACTACGGTGGTCCGGCCTTCAAAAAACCTTAGCCTAAGCCTATGCCTAAGCTTAAGCCTATGTAAGTCTGATCTCAACCTCTCTACTTACCATAGTAATCGTGGCCCCAAGCGGCAACACAAACCGCGTCACCCGACGGTCAATCTTCAGATTCTCCTCTAGCGCGCGAAACGTCACCGGCAACGTGGCGCCACTGGAATAGATTTTAAAGGGGTTGGAAAAGCCTAGAATCCATAGCGCGTGGAAGAACTACCTAGAAGCCGTGCCAAAGGCTGTGGCAAGTGCCTGCAACATGCCCGTCATATAAGCAAACGGGCTCTTCCGCGTCACAACAAAGTACAGTAGGGGAAGGGTGAGGAGGGAGTGGATCATCAGCCCACAGATTACCGTAACTACGTACATGGCCAACGCCTGAAATAAGGGTGGTAAAGGGGCGTGGAAGCGAGCTATCATTGTCTATTAATGCGTACCTGTGCTGTCTCGGATAGATTATCGATATCCGCTATATTTCGGCATACTAGTGAAAGAATTCCGACTGGATAGCACCTAAAAATAGGCTTGAACTCTCCGAATTTCACGAATTGCGTTAATTTCCCTGGACGCAGCCGCGTTTCGTAAAGGCTTTTTAAAGCGAAACAATCAATCAAATGGCTTCTTTCAAGTGTTCACCCCCAACTCGACGTACCACATCAACGCCGATATCCAGCGCATAATGATGGCGTCGAGAACAATGAAGAAGTCGATCATCAAACGGGCCTGTTCCCCCAAAAGGGACAAGATGACGCCAAACCCGGTGCAGAACACGATCAGCCCTGAAAAATCGAGAATATTATCTTTTCGGCCATCATGCCGAGGACGTTCATCTCGTTAACATGCTTCAGCACGGGCTTGTACTTCCCGGTGGTGGCATTAGTGTGGGCGAAAGTACTGTTACGGAATACCTAAATGCTTGTATTTTTCTTTTAACGAAAAACGACCTTTGGGCGATCCAAGATATATTCGGTCTGAACTTGTTGGAAAGTGGCTTGGACAATGTTCTCGGGGAACATGTTGCTGAACACATGGTGATCATGCATTAATGGTAGGTTATGGGGTACCGGATCTGATCGAGGAATGCATCGAGTGTGGATAGGGGTGATTCATCCATGGTTCCCTCGCCCAGCTGGTTCACCAATTCCGGATCGCCCGGATGGATCGATGAGACGAGAATGATTCCTGTCTAAAGACTCTATTAGTAGACCTCTTTTCACGCGTAGCGGTCGCGTCGCGTTTCCTGTCATTTCTGTGAGTGTTCGCCGCGACGCGCCATTTTACGGCGTCACGATTGCATAAAATACGCCAGAAATCGCTGAATCCGACGCGACAAACAAACACTAGCTTCTAAAACGCACAAACGTGGACAGGAAGGTGGTGATCATATAGTAGACGACCGTCACGCACCCAATCCGTCTCGCGTCCGAACACCGCAGCTGGGAGAGGGCTAAATGGCACGGGATTCCGCCAAACTCCCGCTTCTACTCACCCGAGATGACGGACGAAATGATGAGGGGCAGGATCATCATCTCCACAATTTGCATGAATATCTCGCCCGGGAACCCGATGATGCTGATCGTGCGAGCGCTGCAATGGGGGAGAGTCTGAGCTTTTACCGGTATTGCCTGTTTGCTAAGCTTCGGTTTTGCTAATGCCTAAGCTTAAGCCTAAGCCTAAGCCTAAGCCTAAGCCTAAGCCTAAGCCTAAGCCTAAGCCTAAGCCTAAGCCTAAGCCTAAGCCTAAGCCTAAGCCTAAGCCTAAGCCTAAGCCTAAGCCTAAGCCTAAGCCTAAGCCCAAGCCTAAGCCTAAGCCTAAGCCTAAGCCTAAGCCTAAGCCCAAGCCTAAGCCTAAGCCTAAGCCTAAGCCTAAGCCTAAGCCTAAGCCCAAGCCTAAGCCTAAGCCTAAGCCTAAACCAAAGCGGGACAGCTGCAGGTAGTGCTTCTATGACAACCCCTCCCCCGATATTGGAAAAGATCCGTTCCTCTTCGCCATGTAAACAAAAAGACTTTCTGTCAAAAAATCGACTGGAGAGTGCTTTTTTACATAAAAATCCTTTTTTTGATAGTACCACCCGGAGCGTAGCGTACCTGGGCTCAAATGGGCGGACAACGAAGCCGAGCACCACCCCAAATACGACACATTCGATTGTGAGCACGAGCAGAAGATCCTTTTTCATCCCCATCTTGCAATGTTCTGCTAATCCTGAAAAAAATACTATTTATTAGTCGAATTTAGGGCATCTTATTGGAATGATTTCTCCCTCGATACATCTTAGTTTACGAAAAACAAAGTAGGTCAACCAGACCCTAATACTCCTGCTACGTGCCCTCCTTGATTTCTCCGACTAGATGCAGCCGGACTGCTCGAATATGTCGCACGTCGCCTCCCTCCAAGTTGGCCTCTATAAAAACCTAGGAAACCGGAATTTGCAGCAAAGAAATGAATCGAAAACTTTGTGGCTTGAGAGCCCGAGCCTGAAAAACGGAAGCTAGCAAATAAATAAGGTCGCAATGATAAGGTGGTGAGAAAATAGTGGCTGCCTTTTTGAGCGGCAGTTTTTTTCTTGAAAAACAGCACGAACTTTTCAGATAACAGAAATTATTGCTTTTGGGCTTTAATATATTGATTATAGTGCAAGAAATTGACTTCAGGTGCCTTTAAAGCTCAAAATTTGTCGACAAGTTGTACGTAACGCGTCAAATTGCACCCAAAATCTCATCTCCGAACTACATTCCGATCCAAATAACGTCTCAAGTCTCGAGTACGCTCGGTAACAAAATAAAAACAATTTTTAGAGCACGTCAACAGTTTTTAGACTTACCTTTTTGGTCCAAACTAATTCGGAAGATTGAAATGTATTTTTAATTATTCCTAGCAATCAAAAACGGCAAAAACACTATAAAATTGCATCATATATCGTAAACAAGTTCGTATAGGTAGGAAAACAAAAATTTGGAACTCCGCTAGCCCTCCCCCCCGCTAACAGTCCAGCACCGACGACATTCTGATGGAAAATTGTCATCGAACTCTAACGTACGGAAGGGGTAAATTCGGGAATGTCCTAGCCCCTTTAAACCTCAATCAACATCCGCAACGCCAGAATCGTAGTATCACCGATGACAACTGGGCGATGCCGATCACTCGAACCCGCGATTCGTGTCCCCATCAGAATTATGCAAATCGTGGCGCTGCTCATGCGTCAGTCGAGTGCCCCCCCCCCCCCCCGCAGGTTCCGACGAGCAACCAAATGACACTTTCACGCCATGGCAAGGAAATACAACTTTTATTCGAAGGAACAAGTACACAACCGGAAAAGGGGATACTATTTCATTTGCGACAATCAATTACACACCCGACATTTGGCAAAGCGGAATGGAAAATGGGAATCGTAAAAGTTATATGTACATAAAATTAATAGCTAATAATCCTTAGTCACGTAATAAACTAATTATCACTTTAGAAGACACATCCTTGACAGCAATCCGCCAGCATCTCCGTGGCTTCAGCCTGAAAAATGAGATATTGGATTGATTAAAGGTACACTAAAGTCTCGTTGGTTTGGTTGCCGGCCGGTAACCGTCCGCAGGATAGCAAACAGGGTTACGGTAGGCGCTTGCCGCGGAGCAAAACCGAACCCTGACTGCCAGCTTGGGGCAGCGCCTTGGACCACTAGGCCAAGGGAGAGACGGGAAGGGGGAGGGGGAGAGGAAATAAGACGGGGCCGGCTTAGCTGCGGCAGAGAGCCCAAATTTACTACCGCGACCGAACTTTTTGAACGAGATTTTAGTGTACCTTTAAGGTTAGTGAGGAATCTGGAGAGCTTTCAGGATAGACGTTGTAAAGATAATATTTTGTGCGTATTTAACGTAAGCTGTTGTCTAGCCGTATCTGTGTTTCTCCATTCTTCAACCCTCCCGTCGTCTCCTTCAGCTTCTTCTTCCTGCGATTGGAGATTAACCTCTCGATTCCCTAGAAAAAATAATATTGGTAATGGATTCTGGGGTGGGTGGGGGGATCATCCCGGCTTTATTTTTTCGAACTATCTCTCTCTCTCACTCTCTCTCTCTCTCTCTCTTTCTCTATCACTTCCATCAGTCACCAATTTTACCATTCTTACTTTCCCAATAACTTTTTTCGTGTACAATGTATCGACCTAAAAATTGTCGCGGATATAGTGTTTAGTCTGCGGGGCCTTCGGTCAAAATTTCAGAAAGAACGGTTGTAAAATCGCTAATGAACTGGCTTCGGGAGGGGGGGTGGGGATGAGGGCTCTGCTAGCTCAGCCATTGGTGCATCGTTAGCGCAGTGGGCTAGGGTGCCGCCATTATACACCACATGACCCGGGTTCGACCCCCGGCACTGCCTAATGGGAGCCATGATGAATTGGTTTATTGATGCGAAGCCCTAATGCGCGAAATTTGTTTCTGAGCCCCCCTTTTTTGATTGTTCTAGAGATTCACCAATTTAGAAAGAAACTCTCCTACCACATTCTGCCGATAACCTTTTCGCTGGACAAAACTTGGGGTCAAAATTTTGTTGCGGATATTGTTTTTGGTGTGCCGCGTCTTTGGTAAGAATTTAAAGGTAACAAACTTATTGTAAAATGGCTAGCTGTGGCACAAAAGTTTGTCAAAGTATTTTTACAGCTTCAGTTTTATAGAAAGAAAATCTCCTACTTTATTTTGCCGATAATCTTTTTGCTTTACAAAGCTTCGCCCAAAATTTGTTGTGGATATAGTTTTTGATCTGCCGGGGCTTTGGTCAAATGTCAGAACGAACTGTTGTAAAATCGCTAATAAACTGGCTTCAGGAGTCCTTTGTTGGGCAATGGCTGAGGACGGGGATAAGGGCCCTAGAGATGCCCGCCAACAGTTCCCTCCTTAGCGCAGTCGGTTAGGACGCCGCCGCTTTGGCATGAAAGGCCAGGGTTCAAACCCCGGCAGTGTCCGATACGATAGGTGCGATGAAGAAATGTGCCTTTATGCGAAGACTAATGCGCGAAACTTCCTTCTGAGCCCCTTTTTAGCTTTTAATTTTGCCGATAACTTCTTTGTTTTCTAGCGAGAAAAGTATGTTTGTTTTCTGTACAGCCGTTTTCTCGGACGTCAGACCGAGTTTCCGGCTGATTTTTGGCATGGAGGTGGAGAAACATAATGGGAGTGATGGCTTTTTTTGTTGCGGGAAATTCCTTCATTTGACGACCAAAGAGCCAAAACGCCTCAACGCCTTAACATCATGCTGGAAAAAGATACAGTAGCGCGCAAAAACAAGATAACACCCAGCAAGCTATTCAAAGCGGCCTCCTCGTTATATCTTGGGCTAAACGGAATTTTCGATGAACACATTCCCAAGCCACAAAAATCACGATTAGTAGCTTAAGTAGCGAATTTAAAAACGGTCCAAAAGTCGATTCTTTCTACAGGCGTTTTTCCGTTTGAAAAACATCACCATCGTGTTCAGCATGGCCGATTTTTTACAGCTTCAGTAATATAAAAAAACTCTCGAACCTTATTTTCCCAATAACTTTTTTGCTTTACAATATATCGTCCTAAAATTTGTTGTGGATATAGTTTTTGGTCTGCCGGGCCTTTGGTCAAAATTTCATAAAGAACGGTTGTAAAATCGCTAATAAACTGGATTCTGGTGTTAATTACCACTTGGGGGCTAAGGGGTGAGGG